AAAAAACGTCGGCAAGAAGCTTCTCCTGGAACTGGTCAACAACCCCAACTCTGTCCACATTAGGTCGACCGACTCCTGTCCAGTCACAGCGATCCGTCTCCTGTCCATCTTCAGCTTGTCTTGCTATCCTCTCTCTAACCGGTCACTGATCTGCTCTTCAGCATGATCCAACATCTTTTTGAGAAAGGATCGCCCAAAACGTGGACCGAACCGGCCGTCGATGCCCGCTCCGGGCCTTCGTTCGTGTTCTTCGTCCAGTCGTTCGAACTCCCCCGTCCAGTCGTCCACTCGCGACGCGACGGCCGAAGACACAGGTCGTTGCTTGGCGACCGTGACCTGCTTATGTTGCAAAGCCACTTGGAGCGACCGAAGATCGAAAGAATCGGTGGTGGAGGATGTGTGATGGCTCATACTTGCTCATACTATGTCATGTGCAACCCCATAGATGATCATATATAGATCATTGATCAGAATACGTCAGAAGTTATATCAGTTAGGGGGGAATCATATGGCCTGTGAGCCTTTAATATCATTAATATCCCCTCCGTGGCATGAAGGTTTTTGGAGGAAACTTCACAACGTTTGGAAACCCAAGACTAACTTAAAGTTTCCCACTACCCTGTTCAGGTGGGCTTAGTCAAGCCAGTCAGTAGGATGGCCAACTTAATTTTTGATGTGGGAAACTATTGGAACCTTTCAGAGGTGGTTGACGAGGACGTCTCTTCCAAGTGGTCATGGTGCCACCTTCCGAGAACAGCAACATAGAAGCAAAAGTTGATAAAGATGAGATATCCAGACACTCCATGTATGCCATATATGCCGATCAATTGACCCCCCTGGCACCACCCCTGGCCGTTTCTCGGCATATAATGGCATATGGCAGTCCCATTAGACGTATCTGGGTGAGATCTCCTGCCCCTCCAGGGGAGTCCTCTCGATTTGGGCTCCCATCCTCCCACCCGTCCGACGCTTCTCCCGCTGAGCCTTTGCCTGCGGCGTCCTGGTTCGATCTGGCCTTGTTGCTCTATCCCTTCCCACCAGGCAGGGTGACAGCGGTCGTCCGGGACGAGCGCGGGTCCACGGCATGGGCGGCAGAATTGGGTTTGAAGGAGAAGTGGAACGCCCGGTGATGAAGATGTCGTATGAAACGGCTAAGTCTTGAGCACGCAGAGTTCCCGTTTTTGTTGTACAAACTTCAGGGAGAGGGCCATCTGCAGGAACTACAGCTTCCCGAGCTGGTGAAGATTGACGATGTTCCATCATGATTGGGGTGATCACGTGATGTTGCTGCTAGGCTCTCCGTACTTCACCACTGCCAAGGCGGTGCGAAGGCCGTTGAACGAGCAGGAGGGAGCGGATTGATGATCTGGATGTTCTTGGATGACCTTGACACATCTTGGCACCAGGAGATCCAAACTCCTCAAAGCATTCAACAGCGAGATCCCCGTTTTGCTCATTCGGATTCAGCCGAATGTACCGAGATCCACCGAAGGCACCGAGAGATCCAGTGCCTGCTCCCCCCCAAACGGGCGCGTCCGATCGCCGCGACGGTGCAGGAGGAACAAGATGACATGGAGCTGCGCCAGGCACGGGGCCCCCGGTGCAGCACGGTCTGTCCAAGGTCCGTCCGGTGTCGCGTCCCGGTTTCATGTGGGGTTTCGAGTGATTTCATCGAACAGTCACTCCGCGGCCTCAGAGGGTTTGCTGATCAGATCTCCCATCGGGCCCCATCATCATGAAGTCATCATGAAGTCCATGTCTTGTCCCTTCAGTATGACTGACGTTTGACCTCAACAGCGACCTCGACCTCGACATCGGCACGGGACCTTGTAGAGAAGTTGGGACTGGAGGACTGCCTCGGTTCAAGAAGCAGGTTCCAAGCGAAGTTGGTTTACACTCCGGAGTCATCTCACATATAGACCCTGACGTCCTGGCCCCCTGGAAGAGTGTTTTCCTCCTACCAACTAGTGGTTTTCAGGGTCCATAATCATCGGCTTCCAGGGTGTAGGGAGTTGGAAGCGTTTCAACATGTTTCAACTGCACCATTGAGGTTCTTACTTACTTACGTGCCACATTGAGTTCAACTGCGCAAACCATGGTTCCCAAGCGTTTTTGAGGGACAAACTACGGTAATTAACAACAAACCGTGGTTCCTTATCATATACTGTATATATGCAGTAAGTGCGGCAACACCACTTGAGTGTTTCGATCTTCTTTTGAACTTTGCCGCGCGACGCGTGGCCCGGCTGCCAGGCAACCCACACCCGGACCACGACCTCCTTCGATGTCGTTGAGGCGGGATGACGGAGGGGCGCCCGGACGTCAACACTCAAGGCTTTTTTAACGGTGAACGATTTATGCAGTCAGCATGGACACTCCTTAACAGACATAATAAGATATACACAATTAAGGGGGCTATTTACATCTATTTACAAAACACCCCATGACACGGGGCCCTGGTAGTCAGCTCGCTTCCCTGTTTTGTTTGATTTCAACTTTTGATCGCCTATTCTTTCGTCAGCTTCCAACCTTTTCTGGATTCGTTCTGCCCGCGCCCGATTTGATCACGCTAGAGGACGAGTGCCCTTTGGGTGCGCCCGGTCGTTGGTGAGTCGCCCGCCAAGTCCTTCAAGTGGTAAGGTAAAGTAAAGAGGAAAATGATATGGTCCTTTTTCGGCAGGTCTTTACCAGCTGGTCATATAACTTGGACCATTTTCTTTTGAGAAAGGCACCTATACCTTTGGGGCCTTCAGCCCCACATGATGCATGCAAGCCGGACGGCCCACACGCGCTTGGCCGGCCAACACGCGCCCGGGTCCGCACCGGCTGCGTGCAGACTCACCTGGATTCCAGCTACAGCATTTGGGAGCGCCACTTAGGGGTGCCCCACCCTTGGATCACCTATGCCTTCCCCGCCTGGCTTCTCGGCACGATGAACATCGACGCGAAGATCGACACATCCGCCGTCAAGAGGGGTTTGGGGGGATGTTTGGTAAGTGGGTCCCCCCAACAAACGCCACGTAGCAAGTGCAGGGGCCCTAGTGAGCAAGGCAGTGCTGCCATCTACGGCACCGCAGCCCGGCCGACATCAGGGGAACATCGCTGAAAAATCCATGTGTGTTGGGGGCAAAAACTCGGTGGAATTGAGAAAGGGAAGGATCTATAACCCAAAGCTGAAGTGGTTTTGGATACGCTGCCACGTCCACGTCCGCAGACCAGGGGGGATTTCTCCGCCATTCCTTCTTTCACCAATCCCTTGCCTGTGGCGCACCAGATGAGTCAGGGATAGCACCAGACCGCCCTTCTAGGATTATTCGCACATGCTCCGCCTTGAGGTGGAGCATGGTGGTGGCACCCGCCTTGTTGCTGGCGGTGGCGGTGGCGGCCTTTCATCATAGCAATGCCTTGCTCTTCTCCCAGGCCTGGGGTTCCACCGATCCACTGGTACCGAACCGGTTCGGTGGACCCGACCGGTTGGCGCAGTCCAAATCGATACATGAGTCTCCGGTATGACCGAGCCACCAAGGTGTTCGGCACGAGCCACCTTAAGGTGACCGAATGTTTGTAGATGAAGAATGTTTTGTGATTCTAGCGACGGACAATCACTTAGAAACATGTTTTGTTGTTTTGGTCCACACGCGAGGGCTCGAGAGAGGTTCTAAGTGTATGGCTTAGAACAAAGGGAAAACCTACACTTAGAGACTTATGAACACAAAAACTTACACTTGGAACAGCACACTTAGAACAATAAATGGCCCCCAAAAGAATGTTCAAGCGATTGTCCGTCAGAAACGCAAATAAACTCATCGCTACTAGGTTGGAGGCCATCGCCATTAGGTTGGAGGCCATCGCCATTAGGTTGGAGGCTTTTTTGTGCCTTTTGAAGCTGCTTCCTTTGAAGATGGAAAAAACAAGGAGTTCTGCCTACTGGCATTGTTCCAAGTGTGGGGCAGGGCAGGGCTGTGACTGTGTGTGAAAAGTCAAGGGATCTTCCAGTTTTCATGGTTTCTTCCTTATCATGTTCTAAGTGTGGGCCCTGGAATGTTCTATGCGCAGCACTATAAACAAATAACTTTCTTGATATTTGACGCTGTTCTAAGTGCGGCTTCAGCTTTTGGATTTTGTTTGTTCTAAGTGATTGTCCGTCACTATAAATAATGATGAAACACGTAGTCTATCACCTGGT